TTTAATTTGCATCTCTCTGATGATCAGTGAGTTGAAGCATTTTTTCATATGTCTCTTGGTTATCTGTATGTCCATGTTGGAGAAGTGTCTATTAAGGTACTTTGCCATTTTTTAATTGGATTATTCATCTTCCTTTTGTTAAGTTGTAGGAATTCCTTATATATTTTGGATATTAACCCTTCAACAGATGTATCATTGTCAAATATGTTGTCCCATGCAGTGGGCTCTCTTTTCATTTTGTTGATAGTTTCATTTACTCAAATAATTATTTTGAAATATATATATATATATGTTAAAAATAACATATATATAATCTTTATTGTTGAAAGTATTACATATTCTCCCTTTTTCCCCCATTGACTTCTCTCATTCTGCCCCACCCCCCAACCCTTGCCTTCACCACCCTATTGTCTATGACAATGGGTTATGCATCCTATATAATAAAAGGCTAATATGCAAATTGTACCTATGGGCAGGAGTTCGACCAACCTGGAGTTAGATGTGCGCTGACCACCAGGGGACAGTGCAGAACATGGCGGGCGTCGGTGACACGGCACTGACAGCAAGCAGCAGTGGAGGCACTGCAAGCCCTGATGGGCCCCGACTAGAGTGGGACCACAGTGGGATGGTGGAGCAGGTGAGCGGGCAGTGCAAGGCTAAGGTGGATGTGAAGAGAGGCCCCTGCCAGCGGCGGCGGCGGCGGCAGGCAGTCATGGGGAAAGGAGGCCCCGGCCTGCAGCCCGCAGCCACTAGGGGCTCTATATGTGCATGAATTTTGTTTACTGGGCCTCTAGTATATACATACAAGTAATTTGGTTGATCTCTTTCTACCAATCCACCCACCCACTCCCGCCTTCCCATGAGATTCAACAGTCTGTTCCATGCTCCTATGTCTCTATTTTCTTCATCAGTTTATTTTGTTCACTAGATTCCACATATGAGTGAGATGATGTGATACTTGTCTTCCACTGACTGAGTTATTTTGGTTAGCATTATACTCTCCAGGTCCCTCCATGCTGTCTCAACGGGTAAGAGGTCTTTCTTTTTTACTGCTGCATAGTATTGCATGGTGTAAATGTACCATGGCTTTTTTATCCACTCATCAACTGATGGGCACTTGGGCTGTTTCCAGATTTTAGCTATTGCAAATTGCACTACTATGAACTTAGAGGTGCATATATTTTTTTTCAGATTGGGTGTTTCGGCTTTCTTAGGATATATTCCTAGAAGTGGGATCACTGGGTCTGATGGCAGTTCCGTATTTAATTTTTTTTGAGGGAACTCCATACTATTTTCCAGAGGGGCTGCACCAGTCTGCATTCCCAACAGCAGTGTACTAGGGTTCCCTTTATCCACATCCTTGCCAGCACTTGACATTTCGTGATTTGTTGATAGTAGAAATTCTGATAGGTGTGAGGGGTACTTCATTGTTTTAATTTGCATCTCTCTGATGATCAGTGAGTTGGAGCATTTTTTCATATGTCTCTTGGTTATCTGTATGTCCATGTTGGAGAAGTGTCTATTAAGGTACTTTGCCATTTTTTAATTGGATTATTCATCTTCCTTTTGTTAAGTTGTAGGAATTCCTTATATATTTTGGATATTAACCCTTCAACAGATGTATCATTGTCAAATATGTTGTCCCATGCAGTGGGCTCTCTTTTCATTTTGTTGATAGTTTCATTTACTGTGCAGAAGGTTTTTATTTTGATGTAGTCCCATTTGATTATTTTCTCCTTAGTTTTCCATGCCCTAGGATAGTGATGGCGAACCTATGACACACATGTCAGAGGTGACACGCGAACTCATTTTGGGTGACACGCATCGACAGAGACAAAAAATTGCATAATTCAAATATTTGTCTCTTGCAATGGCCAAAGTTGGGCATCACTCGAGTAATATTATTACTCACGTTAATCATAATCAATAATGGAATTCTAAAACCGGATGTAAACATGTACATCAGTGTTGTGTAGCAAAGATACATAGTGAAAACATCCAAGATACATTGTTCCAATATTGACATTAATATAAAAAGGTTAAGAATTGCACTATAAAGAGATTAATCTTTACTCATGACATTTTATTTTTACTCGAGTGACAAAATGCCCAATTCTGGAAACAACCTCATTATTGTCAACATGTGCCTCGGGTAAGCTTCCCGTGCGTT